GGACAGAGATCACAAGTGGTGCTGTGTACCTGGGAAGGCGCAATGGGTACACCAGGAAGAGCTATGGGAGAGTAAAATGGCTAAGGTGTTGGGGCCTTTAAATCCCCTAGGGCCAACAGTACGACTCTGTGGATGAAGGCATTTCCTGCCAAGCCCGACATTCTTGAGTGCCATCTTCGGAACCCTCACAGTAGAATGAGAGAAATCAGCTACCGCACAAGTTGTCCTGACCACCTGTGCTATTGGTGCATGCACTCATACGCATACGTACACATGCACCAAAAAAAAGTGTTTAAAGACAACCCAAAGACTAGTTGGTATTGCACATGGTTACCTTATGTCAGTTTCGTGAAGCAGAACACGGGTACTACTAACGAACTACTAAAGCATGATGCCCTCCCACTGTCCTTGCTTAGGATCGGAGATACAGAAGGCACTGTCTTTATTTACTCCCTACCTGTAGGCAGGGCTTAGCTTCCATACTGAGGCATTGGCAGTTTCTGCCACCTGAGAAAGCGCTTACTTAGTATTGCTGCTGTTACTACCCTAAACTTTGATCTCTAACAGACATGGGAGTCTGTAGTCTTAAGTTAGAGCTTCCCCCTCCCAGCGAATCCATGTGCCTTTACGGTTAGTGGAAGAGGCCTGGCTGGCTGACTGGCTTTGGCTCTGGAGCTAGAAGTAAGCCAAGGTCTGAAGCTTTGGCCCTTTAGGCTCTCATACTAGGGTATCAGAGTCGATTTTTTTTTTTTTTTTAATATCCATCGGGCTGAGCTGAGCTGCCCCAGCCAGCTCCTTTCTGCGTGGGATGGGTGGTGGGGTGATCATGACTCCTATGCAGCTACTTGCTGTGTGTCTCTTGGGTTCCCAGAGACCTCAGTATGACCCATGAGGAGCAGGTGAGGTCTTACAGGCTCTAGACAGTATTGGTACCTTTAGATGACAGGTGTAACTCCTCAGATGGATGCCAGACCTAAGGAGAATCAAAAACAAGCCTATGCCCAGGTGGGTGGGAGCAGTTCCCTTTGGTTGTGCACTGTGCTCTTTCCTGCCCAGGTATTTCTATTATTAAGCTCAGTTGCAAGGCGGCTTGAGTACCTGCAGCAGGTGATGTTAAATTGGCAGAGCTGTGGGTGCCTGCTGTGGATCCTTAGTCAGATACTGGGGTGGTCAGAACACATGCCATCCTGGTCCCATCTCCCCCCATTCATACCACCCTGGCTCCACAGGGGAAAGGGGACATTGTTGCCATCTTTCCTTGGGATGGACATTTGAATGTCCTTGGCAGAATAGTAACAGAGCAGAGTTCAAGTGCGGACTGGATGGACTGGATGTTTGGATTCTCGCCCAGACGGCCCAGGGCTCCTGCTGTAGGGAACTGATGATAGGTGCCTCTTCTGTGGCCAGGAGGGAGAGGAAGGCTTCTGCTCTCCACCAGGCTTCCCCACAGTATCTTGCCATCCTTGTCAGTGCTGGGAAGTAAGGTTTATTTTGGTATGTCAGTTTCAGACAAGGAACCTCAAGTTTAAGTGAGTTGTTCATTTGGGTCAGAGCCAGCTTCGGCTTTGCATTTTGCTAAACTGAATGTAGAACCCAGGACCTTGTACTTGGTAGACAAGCTTTCTACCACTGAGCTGCTTCTCACCCCCAGAGCCAGGCCCGCCTTCCTTAGACTCAGTTCTGTCTGCTTCTCACTAGAAACGGAGAGGTGCAGTACCTTTGCCTGGCTTTACCATAAGCCACGCAGAAAAAGCTGCTATTTGCCCAAGTGCCGTCGGTTGAACATGTAAATGAAAAAGGAGACTTTGCCTTTGCGTGCTTGTTGCTTTTCTTTGGTAAGATTCAAGAAAGCTGGTGTTTCTAACAAAGATTCTTCTTTCAGGGGAATAGTCCCAGTCCTGAGACTGAGGACACTGATTGACTGGGGGGCGCTGTGTAGTAAGGGGAGCAGGAAGCAGTTTTGAGGATCTCTTCCTACCCGGGGCAGATTTAATTTATGGGCGTGGTTCATTCATACTGTGACCTGTAGCCCAAGCCTCTGGCCTCCCTTGTTGGAGCCTTCTGCTGGACACTAGCAGCTAGCATGTGCACTGCTTCTGTTGACAGGGTGGTATGTGCCTTTTCTGCTTCTGGGCATGGCTTCTGCTAGCCCCAGGCAGAGCTGAGTTACACTAAAGCCTAGCCTCACACACCCCGACGCTCCAGATCCCCCTCTGCCTGGAATGGAGATCTCTTGCTTGCCAACTTGACTTATGGGGTTCAACTTGTGGGGTCTTTGGCTCAGAAGCCCTCTGGCCGGCCACTGTCCTTTAGATCAGTTGTTCAGGGCTGGTGACAGTCAGACTGGTTTTCCCCAGTGAGAGCTTGCTTGATACCAGCTAGGTAAAAGGGGAGTCCTTCCCAGGAACCTTCTCTCAGGGGACCTGGATTGTTTGTGCAGGGACAGGTCTTCCCGAGGGCAGAGGAGCAGTACTCACCACTTGACAGTGGTACAAAGTTCTGGGCTGAGCTAATGGAAATGAGAGGGCCTGAAGGAATGGCTGTCCTCCCAGAATAGGGACCAGGGCTTCTGTGCACTCCCGGCCGGCCCTGCAAGGCAGACGGCCCTGGCAGGCTGCAAGCCCCTCCACCTAGCCCCACCCCAGGGAAAAGCTGCTGCTGAGGTTCTCACAGGTCTTCAAAGCATGACTCACGCTAGCTCTCCTCATTTCCAAGTACAGCAGAGGGCGGCAGCAGAGACCCCAGCCTCTCAAGACCGCGCCACCGGGGCCCCACATGAAAGCTGGAGGTTATTTTGCAATGTGCTTTGATGGCTCTGGCAGTCTTTAGCCAGTGACAGGAGGTTTGGCAGATGCAGAGGAGGCTAGCAGGAGGCTCCTGTGCTTGGCTTGGAAACAGGACTTGCACCCTGTGATGTAGAGATTTACCGGATGTCCAGCCCTGGGGGCAATGGCTCCCTGAGAGACTGGAGTACTGAATGGGAGGTTAAAGTGAAACCATCTTTACAGGAAACACAACACTCCTGAACAGGCTCCTGAGAGTGGCCACTGCTGCTGCTTCCCACCTCTCTGCCTGGGACTTGTGGGTGCTAAGAGGGAAGTACCGAGTATAGACAGATAGCTGGGGCCAGCCCACCACCCCTGTAACCAACCTCCAGCAGGCAGCCTCCTTCCTCCTCAGAGCCCTCCACTAGCTGCTGTTCTCTGCTTATGCTCTTTCCTGCCCACCCCCTTTGCTCTGTGCTTGGTATCCATGTCCTCAAAGGCCACAGGCCCAGGTGACTTCACCCTTGGCCCCCCGCCATTCCCAGACCCAGCTGCTCTGGCGACTTGGGGCCTGTTGAGGGGCTTCAGCCCATGTTTGGCTGCATTGTCTATTCACTCGTCCTTCATCTCCAGGCTTCTTGGGAATGGGAAGCAGGACCTTGGCTTTGCCCACAAGTGCAGATACTCTGCCGCCGGCACAGGGTGCCTCCTGGTTCAAGAAAAGAGTCTGTGGGTTGTCTGCGCCTGGGATGCTTTTGAGCGCAAAAGGGGCGAGCTGACGAGTGTGCTGAGCAGCCAGGACAGCGATCCCAAGTCAGAGCAGAAAAGAGACGCCTGGAATTGTTATGAGCTCTGCCATTTAAGAATGAATGGATTTGCCTCCTGTGACTCTTCCGTGCCTGGGGCCTGATTTCTGGACAGTGGCAGGTTCCCACACATGGCCCGTTGCTTCTTCCCCCTTGCAGTTTTCCCAGTCCTTTCTCCATGAGGGTTGTCTACACTGCCCCATCGGCTGAGTTTTCTTTCACTCTTTCCAGGCCAGTGCAGCTTGTCTGTGCAGAGAAGGCACCTGGTGACCCCCCACTAATGGCTGAAGACCACAAAACTAATGGGGAAGAACTTGTCAAAGCCTGGAAATCCTCAGGCTTGGGATCTTTGGGGTTAAGTCCCCGCCCCTCTCCACTTCTCCCAGCATGAATAACAATAGTGGGGAAACTAAGCTGAAAAGCCTAGCCTGCTGGATGGGGAGGGGTCCCTGAGGTGCCTGGTGAGGAGAAGCGTGGACTGTCTGGCACCTCACTTGGCAGCCCCTGTGCTTTGGAGAATAGATGGGAAGTAGTCTGGCCACCCTCCCTCACCCTTGCAGATCTGCCTTGCCTTTATGGTACAAGTGTGCAGTGCACAGCTCAGCCAGCTCTGGCCTTTGTCACTTAGAACCTGAGATCAGACTGCCCCTGAGTGTATATATAGTAGGGAACATCTGCAAAGCCAGAGTTATTGATCATCCTGGTCATGGGCATCCTCGGGCTTCCTGAGACTCTCCTCCCCTCTCCTGCCCACTATCTTACCTATCAAGGAAAACTGAGTTACAGGGCAAGGCTTACAAGGACCACTGGTTTTTCTCCTGTGCTAACTTTGATCCTAGCTTAATATCGGTTTCCAACCCTGGCACGCTGAGCTGCCTTTCCCTGGAATCCGACCAGATTAGGTGGGAGCTACTTCCTTGGGCAGGCTCAGGCCTCACCTTTCTTAGGGCTTTTCCAGAAAGATGCAGTTATGGCTCTCTTGCTGGATGAAGGGACCTTCTTCCCCTGCCTAGCAGACAGGTTCTTTGACTCAAACCTCTCTCTGCCTAGTCTCTGGCTAGTCTCAGAAGCCCAGAGTTGAGGAGTTGGTAGTACTTTGGTTGTGTCTCTAAAGCCTCACACTGCCTCAGCCCCGTTCTGGCTGTGTTTTTACAGCTTCCTCTTGGGTGTCTAGTGGAAGCAGAAGAAGAGGTCTGATTGTTGCCTTCCGTTCCTCCTGTGCCTTGGCACTGGTGTCTGTGACATATCTCAGGCTTTCTGGGGCTTAATTCGTGGGGACTATGTGCTAAGGGAGAGGGGGAGCCAGTACTTGCTCAGCTACTGGTGGTCTGCTCGCACTTGGAAGGCGGGTCCTAGGAAGTTCCAAACTGGAGACAGCAGGAGGGAGGCAGTGACCAGGTCTCCTCATTGCCTGCCTTCTTTCCCGCAGATTGGAGGGATTCCATGACACACACTCGGAGGAAGTCCCTTCCTATGCTTAGTTCTGGCCCCACTGGCCGAGGGGAGCCCCTGCAGATGGAAGACAGCAATATGGAACAGGGGACTGAAGATGTGGAGCCAGGCATGCCTGAGAGCCCTGGGCATCTCCCAGGGCGCCGCAAGAACTACCCATTGCGTAAGCGTTCACTGGTTCCAGGAAAGCCCAAGGCCTGCAAAGTGCTGCTGACTCGCCTGGAAAACGTGGCTGGTCCACGAAGTGCAGATGAGGCTGATGAGCTGCCCCCTGACCTGCCCAAGCCCCCTAGTCCGGCCCCTTCCAGTGAGGACACTGGCCTTGTGCAGCCCCGCAAGCGGCGCCTGGCCTCTCTCAACGCAGAGGCCCTCAATAATCTGCTGTTGGAGCGGGAAGACACAGGCAGCCTGGCAGGTGCCCGCCGAAACCGAGGCGGGGACCCTCACCGTAGCCGGGACCGGGCCACAGGGACCTGGTCTTCCTCTAAGAAGCGACCTCGACTGGGAGACCTTGGAAAAGGAAGTCGAGACCAGTCCCCAGAGCCAGCCCCAGATGAAGGTGCCCGACGAGATGGAGACCCAGCTCCCAAGAGACTGGCTAGCCTAAACGCAGCTGCCTTCTTGAAACTCAGCCAGGAGCGGGAGCTACCTCTTCGACCCTCTCGTGCCCAGGCTGAAGCAGATGGGCGCTCCGCTGAGCCCCTGGCACCCAAGATTCTGCGGCCAAAGTGGGCCAAGGTCAGTAACAAGAACTGTCCCAAGGCTCGGCAGGGGACTGGCTCTGGGGAGACTTCAGGGACCCCCAGCTGGCAAGAACAGCCTGATGAACCTTGTCCATCTGCTATTCCTCGTGGGCCACCTATCCAGCCATCTCGCCAGGCCCCAGGCAAGGCTCTGGAGGACCCCTTGCGCCCCCACCTGCCTCTGCTGATGGGTGGGCAAGCAGCCCTGAAGCCAGAGCCAGGCCGTCCAGGTGAAGAGTCACCCGCCCCCAAGCAGGAACTGCACCAGCCCTCCTTCCCTGCACCTCAGCTGTCTCCACTGCCGTTGCCTGGCAATCCAGCAGACTACAGTGGTCTATGCGGAGGGCCTGAGCTCACTGCCCTGGGCAGCTTCTACCTGTACTGTGGCCAAGACGGGCTGCAGTGTGGGAGCTACTCCCCTTGCCCCATGCTCCCAGAAGGCAAGCTGACTCCGGTGGCAGCCCCCAATGAGGGGCTTCTCATGTCCCCGAGCTCAGTGCCCTCTGGCATCCCTTTCCAACACCCTCCTTGGAGCTCATCTCGCTACTGCTCCAGTGAGGACACTGGAGCGAATGGCTACAGCGTTTGTGGGGTGCTGCCCCTGCCTCTCGCCCACATTGGCACTACCTGTGGCGGCTGCCCCTACAAAATGCCTTTTACAGCAGGTAAGCTCTGTTGGGGACACACATGGTATGCTAGGGAGTTTTTAAGGCATGGCATCCCGGGTGGCTGAGATACAGCTCTGGACAGGGACTCTACTGAGTCTGGCTGCTACCTGGGAGGGAGCTTTAAGAAGGGAGGTCTCTACTTATTTAGGCAATGTCCTAGGCCTACAAACAATCCCAGGAAAGAGCCCCATTTAGCTCTTATGGCCTGCTTTGCCCAGACTGTCAGTGAGATTTTCCAGCTTGGAAGTTAATGTACATAGTGGACAAAGTCCCTCCTCCAAAACTGGGATTCCCGTTCTTAAACTCTTAGATACAGAAATTAGGGTCTTAGGTAGGCCCTGTGGTGCACGGCTGTAAGCTCAGCTACACAGAAGGCTGAGTCTGGGATCATGAGTTCAAGACCAGGCAGAGTTACAGAAAGAGACACTTCTCAAACAAAAAAAGAGAAAGGTCTGGAGTTCAGTGATGATAGGAGTGTTTGGCATATGTGAGGCCCTAGGTTCAATTCCCAAACGTGGGGAAGAAAGAAAGAAACAAACAAACAAACTAGGGTTTTTTTTTTTAATTTATTTATTTATTATGTATACAATATTCTGTCTGTATATATGCCTGCAGGCCAGAAGAGGACACTATACCTCATTACAGATGGTTGTGAGCCACCATGTGGTTGCTGGGAATTGAACTCAGGACCTTTGGAAGAGCAGGCGATGCTCTTAACCACTGAGCCATCTCTCTAGCCCCCACAAACTAGGGTTTTTGCCAAGTCATTCCCATGTCCCTTCTATCTGGGGCTCTCCCTCATCCCTTGGAAAACTAACATTCCTCATGTCCAGGATCCACCTACATGCCGGCTGAGTTTAGCATTCATGCGAAGCAACACCAGGGGTGGTGGGACAGTTTTGCCCTGGCTGTACAGGCTTTGAAAAGACAATAGATACACAGATGTGGCATTGTGTGGATAGTTGGGTGTAGGCAGGGTGGGTGGGCATACTCAAGAAGAGACCAGTGGGTTTGGCACCCTCGGCTTTGTTATCTGTAAGACCCAGTGATGGCTTGTGCTCAGCAAGACAGAAAAGGTTGTCCGCACCTTCTCTCCAGGCTGCTCCCTCCAGCTTCTGGGTAGAAATGAGGTGACTAAAGCCATCCTGACCAGCAGGTCTGCCCTGTGCAAGAGAGGTGAGGGCTGGGCCATCCCTGCTCTTCCCTCCTCCCCCAACACCCCTTAATGTAGGGGTCTATAAAACAGCTTTATAGACCACTTGGCTCTGGCCAGACTGGTTCTATCAGGTTCTAACATGGGTTGGAGTCCTGAGAAACAAGAGCAGACTGTTTCCTGGCCTTTCCTCATAGACCCTTACCTTTTACCCTAATGAGCAAGACCACCCATAAGCACTGTGTGCCAAGCGCCATTCTCAGTCCTTGACACACAGTCACAAGGCATGTAATTAGGCAGACTCTGCCAAAGTGCCTGGATTGAAATGTTCTCCCCTGCTCCCTCTCCTCACGACTTCGGCTAAGCCAGTGACTGCTGTGTCTGTTTCCTCCAGTGTAAAGCAGCAGTAATGGTTCCTACCTGGGGGTGTCGCAAGGGTGAAATGAGTTAGTATGTAAATAAGGGAAACAGTCAGAATTCTGTGTCATGCTTGTAAGCACTACTTAACATTGCAGAGGGGCCAGAGTGACTTGCCTGAGGTCACGTGGCTGGTAAGTGGTAGGTGTGGGGCTCATATCCCAGTCTGTCTGACTCCAGAACTGTGAAAACCCTGGAGAATCTTAGGTCAGAGCTAACGAAGATATTTTTGCTGTCACTCCTTCCAGTTAGAATGGGACACACAAGTGTCTACTGGCCAGTTTCCAAGGTGAAGAAAGGCCTGAGTCCCACCTTCCATCTCAACTGGCCTTAGAGTTGCACCTTGGAACTAAGCCAGGCCTGGGACCTGAAAACAGATGGCTAGAGGGGTTGGAGTTTGTTCTACCTACCTTGACCCACTCTCCTTTTTTTAGAAGGCTGCAGGTCCCTCGGCCAGCTGGAATTTCCTCTCCCAGAAGCTGGCCACCCAGCCTCACCTGCTCACCCCCTCCTGGGATGCCCTGTGCCCAGTGTGCCACCTGCAGCAGAGCCCATCCCCCATCTTCAGACACCCACCTCGGAGCCCCAGACGGTAGCCCGGGCATGCCCTCAGAGCGCCAAGCCTCCAAGTGGTTCCAAGTCTGGCCTGCGCACAGGCTCTAGCTGTAGGTACACTGTGAGGAGCAAGGCTGCCCGCAGACCCAGCCACCCCAAGCAGCCGCGTGCTCAGTGCCCACGTCCTCGCCGCCGCCGTCGCCGCCGCACTAATGGCTGGGTGCCTGTCGGTGCCGCCTGTGAGAAGGCAGTGTATGTCCTGGTGAGTGTTAGCACTTAGCTGATGGGAAGAGGGTGGGGGCAGTAGGACACAGGACACTAATGAGATGGGGCTGGCTACTCTAAGGGCAACAAGGAGCTGCAGTTCACCTCAGGAACCAGTGTTAAGTTCCCCCAGTTCTTACCATGCACCCTGGTGGTTTCTGTTTGTCACTTAGTCTTGGTGATCCGAGTCTTCACCTTCCCGGCCCTGTTCACTCCTCTTTCCATCCCACACTGTATTAGGGGGGTTGAGGTGATGGAGTAACACCAGAAGAGGGAAAGCAGTGTCAGCTAGAATGTTGAGCACGTCTGAATTCCATATTAGAACTTAGCTAAGTGCTTTGCATGCTTTATCCTCTTTAATCTGACCATTGCTGTACGTGTGTAGTATGTGCTCCATGATCCCTTAGATAGATAAGGAAACTCTCCCAAGGCTCTGCCACTTACAATGGTGATTTAAGGGTTCAAACTCAGACCACCCCATTAGTGCCCAAATGCTTAGAGAACCAGCTTCATTGATATCACCGTTTCCAAGCTTAGGAGTTCCCCACCCCGATCCTTTCCCAGTCTTCAGTATCCTGGGGTGGACTGCCTTAGTGAACTAGAGGAGATACTAATCCCTCTTCCCTCTGTCCTCACTCTGGAGTGTGGCTCGCAGACTTATTTCTGTCATTGCTTCATTGCCCAGGATGAGCCAGAACCTGCCATCCGAAAGAGCTACCAGGCAGTTGAGCGACATGGAGAGACAATCCGAGTTCGCGACACTGTCCTCCTCAAGTCAGGCCCAAGAAAGACGTCTACACCTTATGTGGCCAAGATCTCCGCCCTCTGGGAGAACCCTGAGTCAGGTACCTGTCCCCGAACCCAAGAAACAGCCCTTCATTTGGCCCCTGCCTAGAGTTTGGCCTGGCACAAGACCACCATTCTTGGCAGAGTCTGCCCATCCTTCAGCTGGGGTCTGGCTGCTGCGGAGGTATAGCAACTTGTGACTTAAGTTGAATCCATGCACTCACTTCGTTAGCCACCAGAGCCCAAGCACTTGTCCCAGGCCTTAGCCATCAGTGCCTTCTCGCCCGTCTCTATGTCTAACAGCATTCCAGGCTGCTGAGTGCTTGGCCTTGGTCAGGGGACACAGGCAGCCAGAGCCTACAGGATGGGGCCAGCATCTGGGGTTGGACAAACCTCTCGGGCAGGTGGCCAGCCTGTCTTAAAGAAGCAGGGTTGCTAGCTCCAGCCATGACCTCTCTGTTGTCTCCTAGGAGAACTGATGATGAGCCTCCTGTGGTATTACAGGCCTGAGCACTTACAGGGAGGCCGCAGCCCCAGCATGCATGAGGTGAGCTGCCTAGCAATGGGGGTGCAGCAGGGTGACATTAAGACATGGCATATGAAAGGGACAGCTAGGAAACAGCCAAGTCCTCCTTCAAGCCCTCTGGGGATTAGCATCTCCCAAACACCGTCCCAGCTTATGTTCCAAATGGGAATAATGACCCTTGAGCACCGGGCTTTGAAAATGGAAGTGAGCAGTTCTGTGCTAACTCGGGATGACAAGGTGGCACTGTGCACCTCATCCCTTTATTACCTGCAGCGCTCAGCACCTCTGAGCTGAGCGCTTATAGGCTGAGAGTGGTCGAGCTCACCTGTTACTTCCTTTGTGAGACAGGGTTTCACCGTACAGCTCTAGCCTGGAATTTACTATGGGTAGACCAGGCAACCTTGAACCCACAGAGATGCATCTGCTAGGATTAAAAACATGTGCCACCCCCTTTGGTGTGGGACTTTTCATCTCATGGCGGAGAAAGGGACCAATTTCTTTTCCTCTTAGGGCTGTGTGGGAAGACAGGGTCAAGACTTAGATGAAACTGACTCTGTTGCTGCTGGCATTGGCTCTGGTCAGCACTCCCTGCAGAGGAGGCCATGCCTGCCTTGTTCTGGAGTGAGCTGCCTTTCTCGCTCCCATAATAAACCCGCTCCTCTTTCCCCTTGAGCCTTTGCAGAATGAAGTTTTTGCATCGAGACATCAGGACCAGAACAGTGTGGCCTGCATCGAAGAGAAGTGCTATGTGCTAACCTTTGCTGAGTACTGCAGGTAGGTGGTACTCTCTGCCCCCGTAGCTGGTACTCTGCTCCCCACCCCCCGTAGGTGGTCTCTGCCCACGTAGCTGGCCTCTCCCCTTGGACTCAGTGAGCATGATTTGGGGTAACTATATGGAATTCCAAGGAAATCACTTTATGCTCTAGGCCCAATCTTAATGGTTTAAAATGTTCTTCCCTAAAACCTATCTTTAATACAGTTTCTCACCTTGTAGGTTATGACCCCTTTGGGGGTAAAGCAACCCTTTTACAGGGGTTGCCTAAGACCATTGTGTAGAAATAACCAGGCTAGCTAAGGATAAAACAATTTTATTTATTATAAGGGGAAAACTCACGAAACAGTAAACACAAAATAACTATCCACTAAGGATCATCTAATACCTTTTGTTTAGATTTGTTTGAGACAGAGTCTGTGTAGCTCTGTGCTCTCCTGGAACTCAATATGTAGACCAGACTGGCCTCGAACTCCAAGAGATCTGCCTGCCTTTGCCTCCTAAGTGCTGAGATTAAAAACCACACTTGGCTGGAATTTTATTTTTTAATTATCAGAACTGTTTCCTCCTGAGGTAGAGTAATTTAGAGAGCACAGGTTCTCCTGATGGTGTTGTGGCCCACTAGTGTTCTGAGAGAGATCTAGGAAAACTGAGGTTTTTGGGAAAGAAGCCCTGAATGGTGTGTGTGTCCAGGAGTCAACTGGAAGCTGTCAGAGTGCACCCAGTCTTGGGGATCAGAATAGGGCAGTGTCACCTCCCAGTCCCCACTCAATGGGTAGTGTAGGGAAGAGATTGGTTTTCTTAGAAAAGTGGCTGTGCTGAAGGCAGTAATGGTGTGTGGTTGTGTGTGGTTGCAGGTTCTGTGCCATGGCCAAACGCCGAGGCGAGGGCCTTCCCAGCCGAAAGACAGCACTGGTGCCCCCATCTTCAGACTACTCCACCCCACCACACCGCACAGTGCCAGAGGACACGGATCCTGAGCTGGTGTTCCTTTGCCGCCATGTCTATGACTTCCGCCATGGCCGCATCCTCAAGAACCCCCAGTAGCTCCTGTCTTCGTGCTCACACTGGGGCTGCCTTCGGGAGAGTGGGGCCTGGGGTAGGGGCACTGCTTGAAGCACAGCACTTGGTTAAGGGCCATGGGATGCTGGCCTGTGGTTCTCTTGGGGGGGAGGGAGGGCAGGGGCCCTATGGATTCTGGGCCACATGGGAGAAAGGGAGGCCAGGACACAAGAAAGTTATCTGAGTCCTCAGCTTGGCCTGGGGTACCTATTTGGGCACCCCAGCGTGGAGACTCCTGAAGATTCAGTCTTCCCTGAGGTTGGGCCAGACCTGAGGGACATGGGTCAAGGTAGGGCAGGGGCAAGTAGAAGGGTTAAAGTCCTTCCAGAAACAGGCCCAGCAACCCCTTTTCTAGCCTCCTAGGCCTTCCAAGGGTAGCAGGAGCCAGCTTTACCTCACCCACTGTGACCCGCTGCTTCCCATCAGCCTGGGATCAGGCTCTGCAGATTCTAGCACAGCTCTGACTTGTTCCAGTGAGTCAAGAGAGCCAAGCTTTGACTTCCTCTTCCTGGACTCAAGGCTTTTCCTCGGCTTTCTTCCTTTACCCCTGCGCAGTAGCTACTGGTGCTGGCATAAGTTGACCCGGTCCACCCATGGGTGTCCGCCTCCTGTCAGCTTTCCATTAAGGGCCACCCAGCAGGTCTGGCTTCCCAGAATACCGGTCAACATGGAGCTTGTCATGTCTGGAAGAGCTGATGAGTGCTGGGAGAGAGGGTGGGGGGCAGGGGACAAGGAAAATTGCTACCTGATTTGCTGAAGATTTTTCCTCTTGCCTTATACTTGGAGGTTCTGGGAAACCTCTTGCAGAACTTCACACAAGACTCTTCAAGCCACACCCACCTGAAATCAAACCAAAGGAGTGCTGTGGCTCTCCCTGCCCTGCCACCCCTTACCCTAGTCTTTTGTAGATTGCACTAATTTACATCCCAGTGAGAATCAACACTGTATCAGTCCCACAGACCAGAGCTGCAGCCAACTCTAGGAGCTAGGACCTAGTACTTGCATTTTCAGTTTCTTCCATTGCCCAGAGATTTGTTCTCACCTCATGCTCCCTACTAGAGATTGATCAGGAGGCTGGGTCCCCTGTTGTCCTGGCATGGGGTCTAGGCTTTTGGAGGCCTGGTTATTTGTACCTTGTTTGTACCAAAGAGGAGCGTGGGGATTGAGGAGAGTGCAGTGTGGTTGGGTTTGGGCCCAACACTGGGAACCTGCCAGCCAAGCACTTCTACAAGGGCATGCTCCAGGGGCATATGCTGTGGAAGGTGGCACTGGGTCCTCCCCTAGAGAGGGGTGACACGGGTCCAGGAGTCTGAGATGGCACTGGGTGAGTACAGTCTGGCACAGGCTACAGTGGGAGGTGGAAGTGAACCCTGAAGGCAAAGTCCTAGCAACTTCAGGTCCAGGTCCTGATTCTTAGAAGATAAGTTGTTCCTGATGGGTAATTGGGCTGGGTGAGGACCTGAAGGCTTCAGGGGTTAATTTTTGTTTTGGAAGCTGTGTCCCAAACCCAAAAGGAAGACTTTGTATTGAATAAGCTCTTTGGAGGAAGGCATGTATCTGGAGGAGCAAGGTGTAAGAGGTCAGCAGAGTGGTAGTGGACCCATTGGAGCCTGCTCTTTCTAGGGTGCTGCCAAGAAACCCAGCCTCACCCCCAGGAAAGGAGAGAAGAATCCTAGGAGGCAGGGGCTGCTGCCAGATGTTAAATGCTTTTGGAATCTCTTAGATGTGGAAATATTTTTTCGAACATGAAATTGCAGCTAGTAGAATTTCAATGGAAGTATAATCCATGTAAAATATATTTTAGTTGATATTTTGTAAAATGCACTTTTTGTGTGTGTCGATCCTGGTTTCCCAGATCTGTATTTCAGTGTTTACAAGGGAGGGGGTACCTTTCCTCACCTCCCTTCTGACAGAGATTAGAAGTACTTCTTTAAGAAAAATAAATAAATTTGAGAAATTGTATTGATTTAGAAAAGAATTATTTCCTGTGTGTCTTATTTGGGGGGGCATGTAAATATGAATAGGCTTACCATTGTTTCGGGTCCTGATTAATTACTCTTGGCAACACAAGGGCTCACTAAGGCCGGTGAGGTTGCAAAGCTAGAAGAAAAGGAGAATGGAAAGAGGAAATGGAGCTTGAAGTTAGCCTTGAGGCAGCCATGGCTCCTGGGTTTGTGAAATTCTTGGGTTGCCAACACTGACCTGAGTGGGAGTGAAGCGCGTCTGGACACTTGAAGATAACAGAACTGGCTAGAAACTCGCCTCAGTGTCCTGCAACTGGCATTCCTTTTGTGGATGGAACAGAGATTCTGACTGGTGGAGTGGCTATGGAGCCTAGCTAGCCCTACCTTGCTAGCCTGATCCAAATCCATGTTGGTGGGAATGATGGGGAGAGGCGGAGCTTTCATCCCCAATGCTCTCTACAGAGGTTCACGATAGGGGCGGCCATCAGTGTGCTGCCCGCGAGAGTTGTCATTTTGTGAACAGATGTGGTACCAAGTAATCCCACCACCAGAAGTCCGTATATACATTGACTAGAAGCCGACAGCAGCAGTGTGGTTGGTGCAGGGTCAGAAGTGACCTGGAAAGGTACCTTGTCCCGCTGAGCCAACTCCTGGGACTTGAGGATCACTGAACCTCCCAGTTCTGTTCCTTAGTACCTGTGTTCTCTGAGCCTGGGTTTGGAGGCTCACACTTTTAGCATCCAGAATAAGCAAGTCTCATCGCTGTTACTGGCTACTCCTTCCATCACCCTCTGGATATAACCTGTCCTAAGGTCAACACTTCCTCCACCCATCTAGTGTTGTGCTCTGTCATGACTAGAAATTGTTTTAGAGGAAGATCAGCATAGACAGACATGGTGGAACATGCCTGTAATCTCAGCACTCAGGAGTCTGAGGCAGGAAGATCCAGAGGTCAGCCTTGACGCCTCTGAAAACCATGAAACAATCTATAAGGAAAAAAAGCAGCGTCACAGCTATGCCCAGAATTTACCTGTCAAGTGGCTGTGACGACTGAGGAAAATAATGCAAAACTTTTTATTACCTTTGACCTCCAATTCTGTTCTATTTCACAACCTTGTCAGACCCCATGTTCAGATTCAAACGAGTGTTTAACTCTGTTCAGACAGGAACCGGTTGAATACCATCTTTCAAAGGTCTCTGGGAACTGACCGTACGTAGCCCACGTGGCCATCCTGATGCCACTGGCACGTCTTGCCTCCAAATGAGGAGTCTCTTTTTATGTGCTTGCTGCGTTGCTGCGTTCCGTTGTGCTTGCAGGCTACACGTAGACCCGAGGTGCTTGTCCTTAACTTCTACCCAGAATGTCCCAGTTAGCCTTTGGCTTCAGAGTTGGGAGGGGTTATTCCATCTACAGACAGATCAGCGCTGCTCGGTGGATAACCCCCAGGAATGTCACCATGGAGACGTTAGCCAGGGCTTGACAGAGTGGCCCTGTCCTGGACTGAGGGAGGGAAGGACGGCTAAGGACCATACTTTTTGAACCCGCAGAGTGGTGGGCTGTCCTGCCTTCAGATCACCCGTTGGAGGACCGGCTTTGCCAGGGCAGTTTTAAGGCAGTATGGTGGGTGCAAGTCTTATGTTCAGCTCCCAGAGGGCACGTGTTGCAAGACGTCTAGCTCTCTTCTGCTTTCCAGGTCTCACTGAGCTTTTCTCCCCAGGCCCGGGGGTCTGGAGTAGCCCTGACTCAAACGTCTTTTCCCGGGCAAGGGTCTGCCTTCGGCCTCCCCAGAAAGCTCTTACGACTCGGGCACCCGCCTCTCTCCCCGCCCCACCCCCAACGTGGGCCCGCCCCCGAGTCTGTAGCACGGCGGGGCGGGGGGGCGGGGTGGAGAGCAGCCGGGCGGGACATCCGGCCCTGGTCCCAAGCTGCACCCGGGAGCCGGCCACCCACTAACCCTCCCGCCCCCGAGATCTCCAGCCTCCAACTGCAGTCGCCTCCCCAGCAGTCCCGAGATCGGCGAAGTCTGCCTGGATCACCATGTTTCCTCGCCCTCTGACCCCACTGGCGGCCCCAAAAGGCGCCGAGCCCCTGGGCCGCACGCCGAGGCGGGCCCCATTGAGTAGGGCCCGTGCTGGGCTCGGGGGGCCACCCCTGCTGCTGCCGTCCATGCTGATGTTTGCCGTGATCGTGGCCTCCAGCGGGCTACTGCTCATGATCGAGCGGGGCATCCTATCGGAGATGAAACCCCTTCCCCTCCACCCTTCCAGTCACAAAGGCGCGGCCTGGCGTGGGACAGCTCCCAAGCCTGGAGGCCTATCCTTGGATGCTGGGGACTCGGACTTGCAAGTGCGGGAGGACGTCCGAAACCGGACCTTGAGGGCGGTGTGCGGACAACCGGGCATGCCCCGGGACCCCTGGGACCTGCCGGTGGGACAGCGGCGCACCCTACTGCGCCACATCCTCGTAAGTGACCGCTACCGCTTTCTCTACTGCTACGTCCCCAAAGTGGCCTGCTCTAACTGGAAGCGCGTGCTGAAGGTGCTGGCGGGCGTCCTGGACAACGTGGACGTCCGCCTCAAGATGGACCACCGCAGTGACCTGGTGTTTCTGGCAGACCTGCGGCCTGAGGAGATTCGCTATCGTCTGCAGCATTACTTCAAGTTCCTGTTTGTGCGAGACCCCTTGGAACGCCTCCTGTCTGCTTACCGCAACAAGTTTGGGGAAATCCGAGAATATCAGCAGCGCTATGGAGCTGAAATTGTCAGGCGCTACAGGGCTGGAGCTGGCCCCAGTCCTGCAGGGGACGATGTCACCTTCCCAGAGTTCCTGAGATACCTGGTGGATGAGGATCCTGATCATATGAATGAGCACTGGATGCCTGTGTACCACCTGTGCCAACCATGTGCTGTGCACTACGACTTTGTGGGTTCTTATGAGAGGCTGGAGGCTGATGCCAACCAGGTGCTCGAGTGGGTGCGAGCCCCACCCCATGTCCGGTTCCCAGCTCGCCAGGCCTGGTACCGGCCGGCTAGCCCGGAAAGTCTGCATTACCACCTGTGCAATGTCCCGCGAGCCCTGCTTCAGGATGTGCTGCCTAAGTATATCCTGGACTTCTCCCTCTTTGCGTACCCACTGCCCAATGTCACCAGGGAAGCCTGTCGCCAGTGACAGTAGTGAGCCGGCAACTTTTGGAGTTTGGTTTTAATGACATCGGCTTCGAGGTACCTTTCAGAGAATCCTCTGGCTCTGGGGCTTGCCAGTTTCTCTAGATGTCTCCATATCTCAGTGGCTGGGACTCAGGCTGTCCTTGTCCAGCGGTAGGGCCAGACACAAGTATGTTACTCAAGCCATATGTTTGATCTAAAGACTGCCTCCAGACCCCTTGCTGCTGGGCCTGTGCCGTTCACCTGGTCCATCGGAACGTAACCTGTGGCCAAATCCCAAAGGTGGGACCAGCCGAGCACATGATCACGCCTGGGACCAATGGTTCTGACTCCCGTTTGCTCACCCCATGGACCTCGGGACTGGAGCGAGCTGTGGTGCCTTAGACATGAATTTTGAGCCTTTCTACTCCAGACTTTGAATTTCCTACACTTTCCTACACATTTTTCATTTTCCCAAGGAAAGAAAAACTGAAAGTAGGGCCCTTACCTCACAGCTCTAAGATCCAGCCCTTCAAGCATCCAAAGACGTGCGCCTGACCTCTTCCTAGGGCTCTTGGAGCATCTTCAATAAACCTCTTTTCCCTACAAAGCCTTTGAGATTGTGTCTTGGCCTGTGTATCTGGCTGTCACTTGTCTAATGCATTTATTTAAAATGTGTGTGTATATATACATACATACATACATATATACATACGTTTCTCTGTGTAGCCCTGGCTGTCCTGGAATTCACTTTGTGGATCAGGCTGGTTTCAAACCCAGAGATCTGCTTGCCTTTGCCTCCTGAGTGCTGGAATTAAAGGCATGAGCTTCTATGCCCAGTTAAATGTGTATATATTGATAGAATCTTTGTAAGGACTGACTTTTAATAAAGCTGTTTTGTATACAAAGTGAGTGTTTTCTGCGATTGCCCTCAGTTCCCATGGTTGCGGGGGTGGGGAGGAGACCCCTACATGCTTGCCCCCCCCCAGATCAAAAGAGGAAGCTTTCAGTTAGGAGCAGTAAGACCTAACTAAACCTACTTACGTAGGTCCAGTGGCCAGTGGCCTCTGTCACACAGGGGCCTTAAATTAAAGATGGAGCCTTTTGGGACTTCTAAAAGGCTCACACACTCAAGTTTCTAAGATGCCATTTTAAAAGGCAAGGCTGGTCAAGAATGACATCAGCCAGAAGAGGGGAGTGTACACACCTCTTAATCCAAGAACCCCGGGAGTGGAAGGGGTGCAGAGTTTGTGGTCAGCCTGGTACATACAGGAAGTCCAGACCAGCCTGAGCTATACAGTGTGCCCTCAGGTACAAAGCACACATAGGTACCTGGAATGAGGGCTGGAGAGGTGGTTCAGAGGGTAAATCTAGGACTGGAGCTCACATCTCAGCACTCACCTCTGGTGCGCACAGCTGCCTGGAACTCCTGCTCCCAGGGGATCCAGCAGCTCTGAGCTCTGGGTACCAATACACACACAGATGCATACAAACACCCAGGATTAGAGGTGAAGTGAGGCAGAGAAGAAGGGGGGGGGATGAACAGGAGGCGTGGGCTCTGCATTGTCTTAGGGCAGGCAGGGAGACTTTGGAGACTTTGTGGTTTTGTTTTCTGGCTTTGGTTTTGGTGGTTTTATCTTTTTAATTTTGGTTTGGTTTTGATTTGGGTTTTTTGTTTTGTTTTGTTTTGTTTTTTTAAATTTTGGTTGGTTTGGTTTTTAGGTTTTTGGTTTTTTGAGACAGACTTCTGTCTCTATGTAGCCTTGGCTGCCCTAGAACTTGATACGTAGACTAGACTGGCCTCGAACTCAGAGATCCACTTGCCTCACGTCTCCGAGTAAGGGAATTAAAGGTGTGGGCCACCATGCAG